GGGGGGGGGGGGTATTTTCTTATACATGAATGGCCCCAAATCATTACATGACGTATTGGGAACCAACCACGCGAACTTCTAGAGATATCTATCTTGATGTGATAGCTTCGAACTAGGCCTACATGATTGAGAGGAAGTTGAACTCTGGCGGTCGGTCCGTGCTGCAGCCATGTTGAATAGTTGTAACAAACTAGGAGACAACTGTCAAAAGACAGACTTTTACACGGGGGTAAAGACAGACTTTTACACGGGGGTAAGTGAATCATTACAGAGGCCTTTCACACTGGCTTGATAAAATCTGTTGCTAAAAATTAATTCATTCACCGGTGCATTTAATTTTTTGTTTCGTGAATCGGAAAAAGGGGCGGTGCCTGTTGTTTTGTCGTTAAGACTAGGCGTGATTTGATCTGCAAATAGGAGGACTCGTCATATGTGATGACTTAAGAGGGGATGGGATAGAAATAACCCCAATGAAATGTTGCACTTGATTTAAAAACAAAAAAAATCCATGACTTAAAACTAAATAAAATGGATCAGCTCCTCCAAATTGGGTTGTAATCTCCTTGTCTCGAAATCCCTACCCACTCCCCACCCCCTTTTCTTCAACAACACACAACAACAACAAATATTTTTAAAATCGCTATTCGTTGACATTTTCATAAACACGATCCGACCTAGGCCTACACAGACGGGTCTGACACGATCCGACCTAGGCCTACACAGACGGGTCTGACACGATCCGACCTAGGCCTACACAGACGGGCCTGGTGATATGATATCTCTTTACTTCATCAATAAAAGTTGTATGATCTATTTTAGTATTAACTAGCATGAACTAATATTAAATAGTTTTCTCCTGCCTTCATTTGGTTTAATATTAATAGCGTTCAGGCCTACACAAAACAACAAACACAGTCAAGTCATGCGTTAAGCCCAGTTTATAAATACCGGGAGGCAGTCAACAAGAAATAAATCAAGGGTTAAGACAAAATTTCTAATAGAAATAGAACGACATTTATTAAATTAAAATAGAAATTCTATGTCTATTACATCATATGTGTCAAACTCAAGGCCCGCGGGCCACATGCGGCCCACCGTAAAATTATATCAGGCCCGAGAGGTCTTGTCCGGATTACAATTATATTTGGCCCGAGAAATAATTTTATGCAAAAATATATTTTGATGTTCCTGCGATATAAAGTCCAACTCAATTGACTAATTAGCAGCCTTACCGAACGATAGGCTACCTGAGAGCGTTCTCCCTTCGATCAGAATAAGCGAAAATAAAAGTTGTGTAGTCGTTACAATAACCTGGCAACGTTCAGCTGCTCGTTTTTGGATTGGCGCATAAGAAATGAAAGTGGTGTAGTGCCCGGATATTGCATCACATTTCCCCGCTTCGGATAAGGGTTACGTGACATCAATCTTCATCTTCTATATATTAAGGCCCCCATGATCAATTTATTAATAATTTTGGCACCTATGCATGTAGATGCGATTTGAAATGTTTCTGTGCCTGGTGTTGATGAAGATATTTCACTGATTGCAGGCGTCTGTCCGTAGATACAATTTTTTTTAAAAATCAAAGCTAGCCTTAAAATGACCAAGAGAAAAGTTGATTCTGAAAACAGGGCCCTTTAAAGTCATTGTGAGGCTTTTTGTCCGTACATGGCATCCAGAAGATCTGTTAAGCTTAGCGTATAGAATGTTTTTCCTGTTCGGCCCACAACCTTACGTGTGATTTGAGATTAAACTTTAAATTCAGTCTATACAAGGTACCCATATAAAGTGATTTCAAGAATGAAAATATGCGCAAATCAAATGACGGAAAGAAGAATGATACATCCGATAGTCAACAATAATTAACGTGCGTTGACGCATGTGGGCCTCCGATTGGCCAAACCTTTATTAGAAATTTATTACAGTCTACTTTGTCAAGATTCAAACACTCAAATTTAATTGAAGCATTGTGAAGGAGCAAGGTACTTAATATATCAATTTGCGCGAGGTACTACGTTAGAGATATGTCTTGGTGCTTCTTTCTTTACTCTGCTTTAATGTAGGCTATTCCTTTTATAGTATTAAGGGATGACTCTATGTCATTGAGTAGGACCTAGTTTTTAGGTAACTTTCATTTATTTCTTTTATTTACCTTCCAGGTTATGTAAACCATTCATCACTAGGAAGAGTGTAATTTAATGTAAAACTGACGTCACACTGTGTAGGCAACCAACCATGACCATAGATACACAACTTGCCCTTGGAATAGTCAGCTGTCTAGGACACTCTTGGCCGGAGAAGGTCTTCTGTGACATCACAGTGGCCATCGATGGTCAAGAATTCAAATGCCACAGATTTCACTTGAGTGCTTGCTCCGAGTTTTTTAGAGTTCTCCTTGGTTCTAATCTGTCCTTGGATTATTTGATTATTAAAGGAATTAGTCCGGACATATTTGAACTTATCCTGGACTCAATTTATAAAGGAGAGATCAGAATAACAGCAGACAACATGATAGATCTTTGGTACGCTGCCAATCAACTTGAAATTAGATTTTTACTTGAAGAAATTGAAAACTTCATCATTTCAAATATATCAAATGATAATTACTTGCATATCTTTGATGTTGCCCATGATCTTAAAGCTGCTCGAGTTTTGACAGGCGTATGTGAGGCATTGATTGTGAACTGGGAGAAGTTTAGACAAGATCATCGGTTTCTAACTTTATCATGTGAAGAACTTCAAACCATTATTCAAAATGCAAATACAATATCCTCTGATGAGTTGGTAGAATCCATTCTTATATGGACAAATTATGAATTTACAGCTCCAATCAAGAACAATATTCAAAACTTCCCTTTCTCCAAAGGAATAGACGATGATAATAAATTTGTGGAGGTAACATTGAAGAGTACAGTTAACCTTGATATTAGTGACAAAATAATCGACTATAATCACTTAACTAGTATCAATAGAAAGGAAATAATTGGCAAACTTCTAGAAAATGTCAAGCTTGACCTCATTAGCCTGCAAGGTCTTAAAAAATTGTTGTGTGATGATACCGTCATGGATTGCAAGGAAGCACGTGACCTAGTCCGTAAGGCTTTAGCGTCTAGTCTAGAGCGTACATATACTACAGCCGCTGTTCCAGAGACCCCCCAATCGAATGAGTCAAAAGTAGATGGCCTAATGCCTTGTGTTTTATTTTTTGATTGGACTCTCCAACTGAAAGCTTTTAGTTTCAACTCAAATACGTTTTACTCTTTGAAGTTAATCTTCAGCAAATGGCATGATGATGCTTCATTAACTGATCATTTCGTGATTGAAAACAATCTTTATGTTGTAATAAATTATTTAAATCCCGTGCCTTATCGTGTCATCAACAAAATTTCCCCGGACTGGACCAGTGAAACCATTTATTCTTTTAAGACAAATTACACGGAAATTGTTATTGGTTGCGGTAACTTCTTGTACAGATTCATCAACCATCTGAGGAGTGTAACGATTGTAAGATGCAAACTTGGAAGTCAAGTGTGGAATGAGGTGGGAAAGTTTGACAAGACTGGAGAAATTTCATGCGTCTTTTGTTTCCGAGATATAATTCTGGTGTATGTTTCTGAGAACAATAAAACTGAAAGCTTCACCCACTTCTACTACTTTGATACAACAGAAAGAATTTCAAGATTATAGTGAAACTTATTTGTAATTCTTCTACATTGTCAACTTTTATAATGGGTGAGAAAATGTATATTTTACATGAAACTGGTAGAATATGGGAAGTTGTCAGAAGTGACAAAGTGGAAATGGTCTATCGTGAACAAATTCGGGATTTTAATCTGAGGGTTTTGGGGGTTTTTGTACACAACAATTCTCTGTTTGTCTTCTGTGACTTACAAAGTGCATTGCAACCCTTGCCAAGAGTTTGCTCCCTTGGAGCTATTAAATATGTTAACGCTTTCAATGTCAACAAAAAATGTCAACACATGCACGTGCCCAAATCCTGGTTAACTGATGAAATATGAAGAAAAAAAAGCGCCAAGTAAATGGTAAAATAGTTAAGAAAGACAACTCTTAATTATAGAAGTCAAGGTTATTGTGCTTGGTTCTTGAAACTTTTGTCTGTAAGCATTTCGTCACCTATGTAGGTCTAACCAGGAATTGTGAAAGATCTTACTTAAGAAAAATATTCTCTCCATTTCCATCCTAAGGAATTATTGCCTTTATCGGTTTGAAAACAGATGAAATTATACATGTAAATATCGATGGCATTTATGAACTAAAGCTAGTACTAAATAATCAACTTTTATTTCTGACCATAGTCAAACAAGCCAGTATGTTATACAATAAAATTGTAACAGTTTCAATGCAAAGTTTAAAAATTAGATAACATCCTGACAGTTATTTTAATAATTGGCTGTGAAAGTTGATGCCAAGACTCAAGTAACTCTTGTATAATGTTACTTTCTGTCAGATATACGAATACAAACACATCAAGTATGATGTGTTTAGATAGTTTTAGCAATTTTGTGTGTTCGCGCGTGTGTGTGTGTGTTCTACTTGACTTCTGCTATACTTGACTTCTGTACACCGTGTTATTTTATTTTATAATAAAATAAACTGAGGTTCTAGGTTTTTGTAAAAACGTTTGTATTTGTTTATGCTCATCATATTAATCTGACCTATTGAATGTTCATTTTCAATTCTTGTCAACCAAGTTTCAGCGCTGCAGTTCAGTTTTATTTAAATTTGTTGTTAGAATTCACCAGCAACATTTTTGTTGTAAATCATTATGCTTTATAATGTTATAGTCTTTACACCGGTATATGTATAACACAACATATTGTCAGACTTTCTGCAACTTTTGTTGTCTACGTTGTTGAATTTCATTTGCTTGTCATTTTACATTGACATTCAACCATTCTTTCGTCACTGTAAGTGACCTTGACCTTGAACCCGAAGGCGTGTGAATAAATTCAATCTGTGGATTTCTTGAAGATATATTATGTTTGTATATTCATCCATGGTCATGTCAGCAAATAATTAAACAAGTATCTGCATACAAGAGAACCAATTTGATATCCAAATGTGATCATTTTATTATCTAGACTTTAGAACTAGCTTTAGTAAGAAATACTTTTAAATTTTTATAACATTAATTTTTCTCCCCCGTCTATTTGACCATAATAAATAGATTTGTTTATCCATGGATGCAAAATCACATGTTTCAACAATGGATGTAAAGTCACATGTTTTGAACAAATTAGGACAACATTCTAGCTCATAAAATAGATTGTTTTGGCGTTGAAACAATTTACAATATAAGAAGGGTGACTACCAGAACAATCCACATAAAAAATTAGGGCGTCTAAATTTTGGATATGGGTTGGGTGGGGAAAAAAGAAGTGGGGGTAAAAATATGCCAAAACAGCGCGACGTGGTAGGTCGCTCCATATCATTTCGTGGTGAAATTTGGTACGCTCCACACTCCACATACACATTTCAAGAGCTATTGAGCTATTTACCTTGATTCGATAACTCCGAACTAGGCCTTTAATTAAGTGGGAGTTGGACTCTTGAGGTCCATTCAGTCATGTTGAATGTCATTTCAAAGTGTGCAACAATGAGGCAGCCGTGAAAAGACGGATTTTTACTTGAGTATAATAATTCAAGGACTGCATTCAAGCTAAGTAAATGAATAAATAGCAAACCGATGTATGTTGAAGCTTGAAATGAAGGACAGGGCAATAAGATTTGAACGTTTCGGCGTAACTCTTCTGTCTCTAAGAATGTGCTTACATTGAGTTACATCTTAAATTTGCGTCACAACGGGTCGGTTTGATTGATGGAATCGGTTGATAGATTTGGTTGATAGAATCGATTTATATATTTGGTTGATACAATTTTTTTTTTATAATACGGGTACATTTATTTTTGTTTGTAAATCAGAAAGGGGCTATGTTTGGTGGTGGTGGTGGTGGTGGTGTTATTTTGTGGCAAGGTGAAGAGAGCCGTTTCCTTGAATTTTAGTGGCAAATGTTCTTTCATTTTAGACTTTGAGTTAAATTTTGACTTAGATGGAATAGATGAAAATGAGGTGAAATTCATTGTTGCACTTGATTTTAAAAAAAAATAATAAAATCCCATGACTTAAAACTAAATAAAAGAGCCAAATTAAGTGGTAAGCTCCCCTCGTCGTACACTTATTCTAAAAATAGTTTCCACGTTCTTTTACGTCCGAAAGAACAAAACACAAAGTTAAGGTTCTAATTACCGTGTGCCAGTAACTCAGTAACTAAAAAGAAGAGAAATAAAGTACGGTATATTTAAACTTTTAGTTACATTATACATATTTATTCATTTGAAATAAAAGACATAAATGATGCTCTATTACGTCAAGATTTTAACACATTAGATTAATTAAACATTGTAAGGAAACGAAGTAGTTTTTCTATTCCTTATGTAAAGGATTAGTAATGTTGTAGGTTAACCTAAATACTTCTCTCTTAAAATCGCTACTAAGGGAAGGTCTAACTTAGTTACTTCATATTAAGTGATAGTCATGGTCTAAGTACTTACATCTTTAAGTTGCTACTTAGAGTAGGTTTAAGAAATTCTTTCTTAAGTAAATTGAATGTTTTCCCTTTATTTACCTTTTAGTTAATGTCAACCACTGGGAAGACTTTCAATTAATCTAACACTGACGTCACACTGTGTAGGCAACCAACAATGGCTATAGATACAAAACTTGCCATTGGAATAGTCAGCTGTCTGGAAAAAACTTGGTCAGTGAAGGTCTCCTGTGACATCACAGTGACCATCGATGGTCAAGAATTCAAATGCCACAGATTCTATTTGAGTGCATGCTCGAAGTTTTTCATTGTTCTCCTTGGCTCTAATCTGTCCTTGGATTATTTGATTATTAAAGGAATTAGGCCAGACATATTTGAACTTATTCTAGATTCATTATACAAAGGAGATATCAGAATAACAGAAGACAACATGATAGATCTTTGGTACGCTGCCAATCAACTTGAAATTAGATTTTTACTTGAAGAAACTGAAAACTTCATCATTTTAAATATATCTGTTGATAATTACTTGCACATCTTTGATGTTGCCCATGATCTTAAAGCTGATCGAGTTTTGTCAGGCGTATGTCAGGCATTGATTGTGAACTGGGAGAAGTTTAGACAAGATCAAAGATTCCTAACTTTATCATGTGAAGAACTTCAGACTATTATTCAAAATGCAAATACAATATCCTCTGATGAGTTGGTAGAATCCATTCTTATGTGGACAAATTATGAATTTACAGCTCCAATCAAGAAACATGTTCGAAACTTTCCATTCTCTAAAAAAATTGACGATGCAAATAAATGTGTGGAGGTTACATTGAAGAGTATAATTAACCTTGACATAAGTGAGAGAGTAATCTACTATGAAAATACAAGCATCAGTAGAAAGGAAATAATTGGCAAACTATTAACAAAGGTTAAGCTTGACCTCATTAGCCAGCAAGGTCTTAAAACATTGTTGTGTGGTGAAACCGTCATGGATTGCAAGGAAGCACGTGACCTAATCCGTGAGGCTTCAGCGTCTCGTCTAGAGCGTCCAGACACTACAGCGTCTGTTACAGAGACCTAACCACGGAATCAGTCAACAGAAGTGGCTACTTGCACACCAAAAGTTGATGACCTGCAGCCAACAGCTTTATTTTTTGACGGCAGTATCCAGCTGACTGCTTTCAGTTTCAGTTCAAAAAAGTTTTACGCTGTGAAATTAGATTTTTTCAAAATTGTTAAGGATGCTTATAATTTTTCAGTAGCGGATTTTTTTTTATGATTGAAAACAAACTCTACGTTGTTATTGATTATTTTGTTAAAACTGAGCGTTATAGTTATAGTTCAATCATACACATTGTCAAGGACAGGACCCACGAAAAAATTGTGGCTTATGATATAGATACTGATTTCTCAGAAGGGAAATCTTTTGTGACAGGCTGTGGTGTCTTCTTCTACAGGTTTATCGACGATGAACATAGGAATGTAAATATCCGAAGATGTAAGCTGGGAAGTCAAGTGAGGAATGAGGTGGGAAACTTTGACCCGAACGGAAAGATTTCCTGTGTCTTTTGTTTCCAAGATATAATTCTGGTGTACGTTTCTGAGGACACTAGAGTTCAGAGCACCACCCACTTCTTCTACTTTGACCCAGCATCAAGAATTACAAGTTTCATAACGACAAGAAGTGTTGAAGTTACTACCTTGTCAACCTTTCTCATATGTGACAAAATGTATATTTTACAAGAAAATGGTGAACTATGGGAAGTCATGAGAGGGGTCTCCGTGGACTTTGTTTAACGGGAAAATATTGAGAAATTTTCTCTAAACCTTTTTGGAGTTGTTGTACACAACAATACTCTGTATTCTGTGACTTACAAAGGGCTCAACAACCCTTAACAACAGTTTGCTCCCTTGGTGCTATTTAAGTATATTCACGCTTACCAAGTCAACAAAAAATGTCACTACACGGGTGTCCCCAAATCTTGGTTAACGGATGAAATTTGAAAAATTGCAGAAATTAAATGCTCATATAATTCAGAATAGCAAAAACCTTTTAACTAATGAAGACAAAATAATTTTAAAAAAAAAAATAAAAAAAAATTGGGGGGGGGGGGGGCAAAAAAAAAAAATAAAAAAAAATTGGGGGGGGGGGGGTTCAAACAAATAATTCTGTAAGCATATCTTCTTCTTCTATATATTGAGGACCCACGATCAATTCTGACTCTTTGTTTGATTTCAAAGTTTGCCTTCTCTTAGATGAGTTGCCGTCCAAGGCTAACGCGTCCAAAGATGGGATGTATTTTCTTGTCTTGGCTTTGGTGGTGATAGAACTCCAGGGTACCAGCTAGACCCCCCCCCCCCCCACACCCATATCTTCTTATATGTATGCCTACCCAGGACTATCTTAAAATATTGCTTAAGAATAATAATCTCTGAATTTCCATCTTTAAAAATTATTGTGTATTTAATTATAAATATACAATATCTACACCACGAATGAACTAAAACTAGGACAATAGGTCACCAAAAAATAAAACCTATATTTCTGACCTTAGTCAAACAAGTTAGTTTGTTGTCAGTCCTTTGAAAAATACAAGGCACTTAATTTTTTTTCTCCATTATTTTAATTATTTGTTGTGAAAGTTGGTGACTGGACTCAATTAAATCTAGTATTATGTTGCTTACTGTCAGATTTATATACATTTATAAATAAAATATCATGTTTTTATATTATTAACTGTTGTGTGTGTGTGCGTGTGCGTTCTACTTCAATTCTGCACACAGTGTCGTTGCATAATTAAATTTTAATTGCTATTAGTTTCAGTTCAAATAAGTTTTACTCTGTGAAATTGATCATCAACAAACGGTGTGATGGTAAGGTTTCAGTGATTTTTTTATGATTGAAAACAAACTCTATGTTGTTATAAACTATCACATCAGTTCTGTGCCTTACAGGGCCATTGAACGCATTTCCCCTGACAGGACCAGTGAAAACATTTGTTCTTACACGACAACTGACTGGGAATGTGTTACAGGTTGTGGAGACTTCTTGTACAGATGTATCTACCATTTCTGGAGAGTGACCGTTGTGAGAAGTAAACTAGGAAGCAGGGTGTGGAATGAAGTGGGAAAGTTTGACAAGACTGGGGATATTTCATGTGTCTTTTGTTTCCGAGATATAATTCTGGTGGATGCTTGCGTGAACAGTGCAACAGAGAGCGTCACCCACTTCTTCTACTTTGACACAACATCAAGAATTACAAATTTTTTACAGAATTTCTATGTGCATGCTTCTACATTGTCAACGTTTACAGTAGAGGGAAAATTGTACATTCTACATGACACTGGGATTCTATGGGAAGTCGTCAGAGGGGACTCAGTGGAAATAGTCTTTTGTGAAAAATTCGAGGATTTTAAGGTGAATATTTTTGAAGTATGTGTGCACAACAGTTCTCTGTTTATCTTCTGTGACATACAGAGTGCTAGACGACCCTTGCCAACAAATAGCCCTTGGGGCTATTAACTATATTAATGCGTTCAAGGTCAGGAAGAAATGTCAATACATGAATGTTCCCAAATCTTGGTTAAAAGATGAAATATGAAAATCTCAAAAAGGGGAATGCTCCAATCGTTAAGAAAAATCAAACACCTCTTGATAAAGACCTCTTAATAAGACCTCTTAATAAGACCTCTTGATAAGACCTCTTAATGAGACATCTTAATAAGACCTCTTGATAAGACCTCTTAATAAAACCTCTTGATAAGACCTAGCATTCGTACTGGTTTGGCCTGGTTTATCAGGTTTAGCAGCCTGTTCCTGCAGGTGTTATATTCTTTCCCGGTTTCATTCGCCATTAAAAAAAATAAAATAATGTATAATCTCTCTATATAAAATAATGTTTAAATATTTTTGTGTGAATGTTTTTATTATAACGTATTTATGGGCGATTTTCATATTTATTACGAGATTTTTCCTCACTGAAGTGTAATTATTTTTGTTGCTGTTGGTTTTTTTCCCGTGTTCATTTTTCCTGTGTAAACTTGAGACAAATTTTAAGAAAATAAAATGAAACCTTCAAATTTCCGTTTAAAATATTATTTTTAATTTGTGTAATTTCTATGTCGTTGAAATTATTGTTGTCTGACTTCAGTACTAGTTTGTAGTATGTTATGCTGTTAACAGTATGTTTCCTCTTTTATTTTTATAGAACATGACCAACATATTTTAGGCCTACATGAATCGATTTACTCAGGTAGTGGTGGATAATAAAAAAGTCAGTAAAGAAAATTACACTAAGGTTGACTCAATATTACAGCTGCTACTTCTACTGAGTAGGCTGCTACTACTACTGAGTAGGCTAACACTTCTACTACTTACTACTGAGTAGGCTACTACTACTACAGACTAGGCTACTACCACCACTGAGTAGGCTACTACTACCACAGAGGAGGCTACTACTACTACTGAGTAGGCTACTACTATTAGGGCGATATTTAGCAAGTTAACGTGTGAAAACAAAAGGCGACAATTTGGCAATAATTCCTACAAAATATTTTGTGATATTTGTACAGTATTTTAATATATGCTATTTGTGGACTGTCAATACATACGTCATGAAAACCATTGCAGAATTTGAGAATTAATGTACGTACTTTATCTGCCAAGACATCCAACACCCCCCCCCCCTTCCGGGCCATAAGCATAAATTGAGGCTTTCGGTCTTTTACCAGAGGTCAGACTGTCACTCTGTCGGCAATCCGGTATTCATTATTATTACTCGACGTCATTTTTTGGTTTATTTTCTTAATAATAAAAATTGGGTAACCTTAGGCTTATTCACTTAATTCATTTATTTAAATCCATCATCATCATATTGATAAACATTGTTATTGACGAAATAACGACATAACATTGCCTTTAATTTAAATCATAAGCCGACACACATGTGTCATGTATCACTGTTTCGTTTAAGTTTAATAATTAAGTAATATTATTATATGTAACCTCGACATTCCTTCAACTTTTGTTTAACGTGGGTCAAATTTAAAATGAGCCGATAAATAATTGTGGACAAACGAAACAGTTTAAATGTCGACCAATAAGACTTATAATAACAGCGCGTGTTACTGAAAAGGCTGCACCTATAGGTATAGCTACAAATAGCTATTCGGACCCCAAGTGGCTCCGCATAGATTAAATGGCTTCGGGGCCGGGTGTGATAACAATAATAGTATGAGAATTTTTTTTAAAAAAGTGTTATTTCTCCTTATTTCATAGATTCATAGTTTTATTCTTTTTAGTTGTGTTTTGTTTTCTTATTGCAGGTAGCTGTTTTTTCTTTCTAATTTTATTTTTTTGTTTAAGCTATTTTCGTAGATCAATTTTTTTTTAAAATATAGTAATCAAGATGATTTAGATACATTTATTGTTTTCATTTGAATTTTAGAAAAGTAATAATATTAATTTAATTATTAATGGACCACGTTATAGAATTTCTCCAACAACAGAGGGCGACCAATGTCCAAGCGTTGGTTGATGTGTTACGTGTCCTCATA